TTGTGTAGCTTTGTGCTTAACTACAAACAAACAAACCGTAACGACCAGTCAAGTTTGATTCCATGTAGGCCTAACTTATAAATAATCTCTTGAAATAAAACGTATTTACTGCTTTACAGTCTACTACCGAACGTGCGATATTTAAGCAGGACAAAAAACAGAAAAGTGTAATTATATGAAAAAAAAATATCACTAATTTTTCAGTTCACCAGAAAGTCAAATATGTCAAACATGAATGTGACATTTCTGGAAGAAAAAAAATCTATTCAACCGATCATGTGGTGTCTCGCTCCGACTGTTGTTGCTTTATCATTGGCGGATGTTGCCCAATAAAGAAGCTCTGAACGTTGAATACATCTTCTACTACGTTTTTAGCTATAGACACGCTACCCAGTGTTAAATCAATATATTTTTTTCTCTCTCTCTGCGAGAAGTGGGGATAGAGTTCGAAATAAGACCGAACTGTATATTATCCACAAACTTCTCGAAAGTAGTTTCGCAGCAGTGTGGTGCATTTTTTTTTTAATTTACAACCTAACACGTTTTTTTTTTCAGTTTGTTACTGATACTATTAATTACATGCACTTCAAAAACTGATTAATTAAAGTCTAACTTTTCTTGCATAAGGTATAGTTCTTAACAGTCTTTCTGATTTGTTTGTTTTTGAATTTCGCGCAAAGCTAAACGAGGGCTATCTGCGCTAGCCGCCCCTAATTTAGCAGTGTAAGACTAGAGGGAAGGCAGCATCACCACACCCCCACTCTTTTACCAACGAATAGTGGTATTGACCGTTACATTATAATGCCCCCACGGCTGAAAGGGCGAGCATGTTTGGTGTGACGGGGATTCGAACCCGCGACCCTCGGATTGCGAGTCAAGCGCGCTAACCACCTGGCCATGCAGTCTTTCTGAAACGTTACTCTACCGTTGCATTAAACGAAACGTTTTTTGCAGATTAACATTAAGCGTTTAGAACGATGTTTTTTTTTTCTGGTCCATGTTAAAAGTTCTATGAAATTAATATACAAAATTCAAATTTATTTTGCATTTTTGCGTTTTTTTTTTTTTTTTGCTAATGGATTCGTAAGAATGCTGCAGGAAAATAGTAAAAGTAACTTATTTTTTAATTTTGAAAATATAGGAAACATTTAGAAGCGAAACTGAAGAAACACTGGTTAAAAATGAATTAAAACAATAACTTAATCTAGGTTTCACCATTCTAATATATTTTCGTCAAACTAACATGTCGAATTTTTTTTTTTTGCTTGGATTAGTATTGTTTGATTTCTGCCCAAAGGAAGACCACACTCCATGCCGCCATTATTTTTACAATCAAGTATGCTTTCTTTAAGTTATATTATTTAAGTTGCCACGTTCGACAATATTTACAATTAAAAATTTGTAACTTGCTCTTTCTCCGCATTTTAAATAACTTATATTATATCAAACCCACCTAACGTAAGAACATTTATGGAAGTACATGATAATTGTTTGTTTTTGAATTTCGCGCAAAGCTACACGAGGGCTATCTGCGCTAGCCGTCCCTAATTTAGCAGTGTAAGACTAGAGGGAAGGTCAGCTAGTCATCACTACCCACCGCCAACTCTTGGGCTACTCTTTTACCAACGAATAGTGGGATTGACC